CTCTGCCGTTGCGGAGCACAGGCTCCGGACGCGCAAGCCCAGCGGCCATGGCTCACGCGCCCAGCCGCTCCGCGGCATGTGGGTTCTTCCCAGACCGGGACACAGAACCTGCGTCCCCTGCATCGGCAGGCAGACTCTCAACCACTGCGCCACCAGGGAAGCCCTGACTTGGTTTTAAAGGTCCACTCTGGCTGCAAAGTACAGACTGTAGGGGGGTAAGGGAGGATGCAGGAAGACCTGAAGGAAGGTAAGGGCTATAATCCAGACATAAGGTGATGGTGACCTTGAGCACAGTGGGATAGTGGTAGAGGTGGCGAGAAGTGGTCAGATGCTGGTTGTATTTTGCAGATGGAACTGACAGTATTGGCCGATGAAATCCACTTTAAACATTGTATCTCTTCCTTAGATAGTAGTAAGATAGCGTAGGTTGTGATGCCTGGGTTCAAACCCTGCTTTACCACTTACTATAACCTTTAAGCAAATGACTTAATTTTTCTGTGCTTCAGTTTCCTCACTGGTAAAATAGGGAGAATAAAATAACTATTTCATAAAGTTGACATAAGCAGTAAGTGAGTAAAGATTTGTAAAGCACTTAGAACACTGCCAGCCATTTAGGAAATACTATACAAGTGTGTACAAGGCAAATGAGCATTCGTCAATCCCCAGCTTAGGTCAGGCTCTGGGTTATGAGTTATGAACTTTTCCTCCAGCACTTTCATAGTTTATAGATATATATTTAAATGATCATTTAACAAATAAATGTCTCCCTCACTAGACTGAGAGCTTCATAAGGGAAGAAACTGTTCACTCTTCTACCCTGGTAACTAGAACAATTCCCTGGTTCATGGTCACACTCATAAGAGATTTACTGAGTCAGTGAAGGAATGACCTGGTCACATTTCATTATAATTATCTTTTTACACTTTTATCTACTATACCAGTGTAAAAAACTTCTCCTTTATCTTTTGATCTCCTGTATCTAATAGAATTCTAAGCACAAAATAGGTGCTCAATAAATGCATGTTGAACTAAAGCAAGAACTCTAGAAACATTTCCTGTAATCACTGCACTAAATTTATATTATCAATCTGAAGGGCTGTTTGGCAAAAAAGAACAGCTGATGTGAACAAACAGAATAACCTGAGAGTGGCAAACATTCTTTTACCAAGATGTCTGAAATAATCTTCTTTAATATATGCACCAGCATAGCAATGGAAATTCTGCTGTGACTGCAGAAATACTGATCATAAAAGGTGGGCACCCAACAGATGTACCTTCAAACTGCAAGTCATCTACAGCTGCCATTCAGCCAAGGGTCTTCTTCCAATTATTAGGAAGATAATTTACAGAGGTCTAAAAAGGAAAAATAAATAAATTTCATACGATAACATAAAAAAATATCTACAAACGAATCTTATTTCAGCATTAGAAATGGTATTGCTTTTCCTTGCGTCCTTTTTTAGTGGGATCCGATAGGTTTATATAAAGATAACCATTTAGCATCAGATACTATTAAAACTGTTATAAAAAAACTAATGGTGGGGGTCTCCATTGGTTCCATGCAATCTCACTGTGTGGATGTTTAAGGGCCAGGTGCAGCCTGGAGATGGAAGGATGAGGAAGGGGAGGCTGGGGTTTGAGACAGGTGGCTATGAGGGCAGTGGAGAGCAAAGGCAGTCAGCCTAGCCAGTGGTTAAGGGCACAGGCTCTGGAGTCGAACAGACCTGGGTTTGATTCCCGATTCTGCTGCTTCTGGCCGTAAGACTGTGGGCTCCTGGGGGCCTCAATTTCCTCATCTGTAAAATGGGTTCATAATTGTACCTACTCACACGATACTGGGTGCCATTAACTGAGGCAAGTAAGTGTAAGGCGCTTGGTGCATAGCGAAGCAATTAGTAGGAGCTAGAGTGATGGGGACCCTACAGCCTGGGGCACCATGAGTCCAGGACGGTCTGGGAAAGAGCTGCCGAAGAAGCACGTCAGCGTTTTAGGAGGAGAAGCTGGGCCGCAGCGGCCCGGGTGGGCAGGAGATCCCGAGCTCCCTCAGTCCCGGGCCGGCCCCACAGACCCCGCCACCTCACCTCGCGGGGCTCAGCGTCCAGCTGGTGCGAGGAAGCCTCGGGCCTCAGATTCTCCGCGCAGGCTCTGGTCCCGCCGAGTTGCCGGAAACCGGAGATCCGGGGGGCAGACCTTCTCCACCTCCTCCGGGCAGAGCCCCGCCTCCTTAAAAAGAAAGCAGCTCCCGGACTCGCCGCTTCCCGAGACCTCTGCGAGCAACTGTACCAAAGCTCGCTCCCTCCGCGGCCCCTCGAAGGGCTAGGCTTCGGCTCTCAAAGAGGTAGATGGCGCCGGGCGGACCGGTGGGGACGTGAGAGGGTCCGCCTCGGCTCACCTCGCTCCGGGGGTGGGGGGCGCAGAGAATTCTCTGGAGAGTGGGGTTTACTTTATGTTTGGTTATACATCTTTTCCTATTGAAATATAAAGTAGCGTAACGGAAGACGATTGTGAAAACGAAAAAATGTCATCAATCCCCCCATTCTTTTTTGGCCATAAAAATTTAATTAACCAGTGAGGGAGAACGAGTCCATTAGTTTTTGAGTGTTGAATCAGTGATCTAAGGAAGGATGATGTCTGTTCCTAGGGACACCCCCGTAAGTGTGGTAATTTGTTCCTTCACTCCTGCGACGGTCCACCTTATGCCCTTGGAGCAGTGAGGGGTGACTGGAGATTGGCCTCACTCCCCGCCCTGTCCCCGCCTCGGCATCTTACCACCACCTTGACTATAGCAGGGGCCCAGTAAACGACGGTGAAGTTGCACTGAGTGAGCCGGTGGGAAACATTTTGCCCCGCCGCCAGCCTTTGCTTGGTTATCACCTACACATCCCTCCAGATGTCGGTACCCTTTCCTCCTCCTAGGGGAAGCCTGCCTTCGCCTCCAAGGACTTCTTTTGCGCCCATAGTCCCCTGTGCTCTCTTAAACCGTGGTAGTTGTTGTTGTTTGCCCATCTTTGCCGGCGTGGGAGTGCTTTGGGGGGAAGGATCAGGAATGACTCTGGTCTCCAGGTCCTCAAGGCAGCCCAGAACCAGGGACACGATAGTTGCTCACTGAAGGTTAATTGTAGAGCGATCAAGTTCTGGCTGTCTGAGCAGCATAAGCCAAATTCACTGCCTACACAAGGTGGAACCTTTGACTTTGGCCTCACTACACTGGGCCCTTATGGTCAATCGGAATGGCTTATTACATCTGACTAATAAAATAGTTACACACATACGGAGCATATTTATTGAACTGACATTGTGATCAGGCTTTATACATGCAGATCTCTAATTCTCAGAACAATCCAGCAAGCTTGAGGTGATTATCCTCACTTTATACAGAGAAAGCTGAGGTTAGCGTATGTATGTGCAGGGTACTTTGGTTGAATGTGTACCAGGAATGAATTGCAACGCACAAATTCGGTGTGCAAATGTATCAAACACTTCGTGTGCCCCATGGCAGATCCTCTTGGCTTCATCAGCTGCTTATTTCACCACCACTGATATTATTCCAGCTTCAGCAGCTATAACCTAAGTGAGCTTCACCTCAAGTCCATAACTCGGGCTTCTCGCTTTCTGCACCAGGGCTTGTGTCTTGATACCTTGGGATTATGGGACTGCTGGAACCGTTCAGCACTGGGACAGGTGCAAGCCAGAAGTGCGGAAGTGGGGAGCGGTCAGTGCCTCATGGGACAAATCTTTGACCGACAGAGTCAGTAACTGATGAACACACGCTTCTCTCTTTTTCCCCTCAGACTCTCCTCAGATATTTCATACAGCTTTCAAACTGTCTTGCAGGATCAAACAACCAAATGCCTTTGGAAGTGGCCAATTTGCCTAGATAATTCTTTGTAGAGCACCCTCAACAAAGAATGGCACCCTTGCAATGGCTCTCCTTTCTCCTCTGTTTTACAACTCCTGTCCTTCACTCCTAATCCTTGGACTCACACTTGCCAATAAAGTCCTCACATGAGATGAGGAACCTACACTAAGGCATGTTGGTACCAAGAGTGGCCCCAGCAAGCAGCCCTCAGGATGGAATTTTGGAACCGGACTGCTCACCAGTCAGATGGCAACAACAACCCCATTGCTAGTGATAAGTGTGTGTGTGTCGGGCCAGGGGGGCGGTGATAACACCTAGACTATATATTTCTTCCCTTGGAAACAGAAGTAAAAGTTTTATTGATATATTAATTATAATGATATGTAAGTTTTGGCTCAAAACGAGACAAGAATCAAAGATAACTATACCGGTTTAACTAAAACAGCAATTCTCAACTGGGGACTATTTTGCTCCCAGGGATATTTGGCAATATGTGAAGACATTTTTTTTTAAAGAATTTTATTGGGATTTCCCTGGTGGCGCAGTGGTTAAGAATCCTCCTGCCAATTCAGGGGACACGGTTCGATCCCTGGTCAGGGAAGATCCCACATGCTGTGGAGCAACTAAGCCCGTGCGCCACAACTACTGAGCCTGCACTCTAGAGCCCACACGCCACAAATGCTGAAGCCTGTACCCTCTAGGGCCCACGCTCTTCAGGATGAGAAGCCCACACACTGCAGCAAAGAGTAGCCCCCACTCGCGGCAACTAGAGAAGGCCCACGCGCATCAGCGAAGACCCAAAGCAGCAAAAAATATTAAAAAATAAAAATCTTCATTCACTCTAAAAAAAATAATTTTATTGGAGTATAGTTGATTTACAATGTTGTGTTACTTTCAGGTGTACAGCAAAGTGGTTCAGCTACATATATATATATTCATCTTTTTCAGATTCTTTTCCCATATAGGTTATTACAGAATATTGAGTAGAGTTCCCTGTGCTATACAGTAGGTCCTTGTTGGTTATCTATTTTATATATAGTAGTGTGTGTATGTTAATCTCAAGCTCCTAATTTATCCCTCCCCTGCACGTTTCCCCTTTGGTAACCACAAGGTTGTTTTCAAAATCTGTGAGTCTGTTTCTGTTTTTTAAATAAGTCTGTTTCTACCATTTTTTTAGTCCACAGATGAGTGATATCATATTTGTCTTTCTCTGCCTGACTTATGAAGGCATTCTTTTTTTTTTTTTTTGCGGTACGCGGGCCTCTCACTGCTGCGGCCTCTCCCGCCGCGGAGCACAGGCTCCGGGCGCGCAGGCCCAGCGGCCATGGCTCACGGGCCCAGCCGCCCCGCGGCATGTGGGATCCTCCCGGACCGGGGCACGAACCCGCATCCCCTGCATCGGCAGGCGGACTCCCAACCACTGCGCCACCAGGGAAGCCCATGAAGGCATTTTTGATTGTCATGACTTGTGAGGTGCTACTGGCCAGGGTGCTTCTAAACGTCCTACAATGCACAGGATAGACCTTCTCAACAAAGAATTATCTAGTTCAAAATGTCGATGGTGTCAAGGTTGAAAAACTCTGAGCTCAAAATGTTCATATTTCCTTAACTCATCTGTCCAACTATGGTAAGGAAGGTGAGCCCAGCTGATGATACTAATTAGAGCTCTAACTGCTCTGCAAGGGGAATGAACCAGTGAGAGAGAACCCACCCCACCCTCACCTAGATAGAATGGGGGAAGAATGCGGGAGGAAGAGAAGCAGAGGAGCAAGGCTTGCTTTGATGGGCAGGGATGGGGGTGGAGGGGACAGTCTGAAAAGTATGAGCCTTGTTAGATGCTGCATGTGATCCTGACAGAGTCCCCTGGCTTTCCGCAGGGGAAAGTTGGTGACCCCACAGCTGAGCCATGCTCCAGAAAGTGTCTCCAGCACCTGCTGAGTGACACCCATCCCACGGAGAAGGCTGCTGGCCTTTGCATCATCGTCTCAGGTGCAATGTTAGAGAACTGCCACTGATTATTTTGGCAAATGCCTTGTTTTTATAGCGTGAGCTCTGAGTCAGGTCAAATAAAACCAAGACCTGAGAATGGAGCTTTCCAAAGGAGATGTCAGACAAGTCACATAATGACAATTGTCTGTGAATGGGACTTTTTGAAGAGCTCCAAACCTATTCTGCCCCTTCCAGTGGTTACTAAATTGCTAATTTTCGCAACAACCATGGTTGTGAAGCTGCTGTTTTTCAAGGCTACCTTGGAGCAGGGAGAGGGGAATGGGGCTAGAGCAAGTTAAAACACCACAAAGCTCACTGTTCTTACTAAGATTCAGCTGTTTTTATTGAATAGACACTTCTCTGATGATCACAAACCTTTCTTTGATCAATTTACAAAATACCGAAAGAAGTTGATTTTGACAATTTTTGCCAGTGTTTTCATGCTTTTATGAAGGAGTGGGTTTTCACCGATTCTTATTCTTCCATTCCAGAAGTGCTGCTAATTCATTTACATTAAATGCATTTCTTTTTATATATAGTTATTTCAGTCATCTTTTTCACATTAATTACTTCCATTACTTCTTTATATCTTCTTTACCTTTTTTTTTTTTGTATCTTTATTGGAGTATAATTGCTTTACATGGTTGTGTTAGTTTCTGCTGTACAACAAAGTGAATCAACTATATGTATACATATATCCCCATTTCTCCTCCCTCTTGAGCCTCCTTTATCCCACCCCTCTAGGTGGTCACAAAGCACCGAGCTGATCTCCCTGTGCTATGCAGCTGCTTCCCACTAGCCATCCATTTTACATTTGAAAGTGTATATATGTCAGTGCTACTCTCTCACTTCGTCCCAGCTTTCCCTCTCCCCTGCCCCACCTGTCCTCAAGTCCGTTCTCTACTCTGCGTCTTGATTCCTGTGCTGCCACTAGGTTCACCAGTACTACTTTTTTAGATTCCATGTATATGTGTTAGCATATGGTATTTGTTTTTCTTTCTGACTTACTTCACTCTGTATGACAGACTGTAGGTCCATCCACCTCACTACAAATAACTCAATTTCATTTCTTTTTATGGCTGAATAATATTCCATTGTATATATGTGCCACATCTTCTTTAACCATTCTTCTGTCGACGGACCCTTAGGTTGCTTCCATGTCCTGGCTATTGTAAATAGTGCTGCAGTGAACATTGTGGAACATGACTGTTTTTGAATTATGGTTTTCTCAGGGTATATGCCCAGTAGTGGGATTGCTGGGTCATATGGTAGTTCTATTTTTCGTTTTTTAAGGAACCTCCATACTGTTCTCCATAGTGGCTGTATCAATTTACA